GGATGGGAAGGGTAAACAAAGGAGGAGGCTACAATGCTTGATAAGAAATGTACTCACTATCTTGCCCATGTAATTTTAACCCCTCTGTACAGTATTTTCACAATAAAAAAAAAACACATTATACAGGAAGAGCAGGGGGACTCAGAGGTATACAGCCCTGTTTCTTTGCTATGTTGTGCCTCCTTGACCTCTAATCCACGGTCCTGTTATTTTTTTTCCCATTCTTTCTCTACAGGTGAAGAAGCAAGCATCTCACAAGGAGGGCAGCCAAGAGGAGACGGGAACCCTTCCAGGACCATCAGCTCCACAGGCTTTCTTTTTGGATGCCCTTCAGCTGCACCCAAGTAACCAGAGGCACTCATTCTGGAGCTAAGGCAATGGGAATGAAGGCATGGTTCAGCCATCAGCCAGGCCTCCCCAGTGGTTGCACGGAGGCTGTTTTCAGATGAGTCTTAGGGTATGGTAGGGAGCGAGACCTGTGACCGCCCAACTGCAGCTCCACATCCTAAATGCAAATATTGCCTTAGCTGCTCTGCCATCCTCATGCACCAATCCTGGTGGTGTCTGTGCTCCCTCAGCCTGACACTGAGCGGTAAAGGTCCTTGATGTGTCTCTCACCTAACCCTTTCTGATTCTTAACCCCATGTACCCCACAAAGCCTTCTGAATAGAACTTTTTTTTTTTCCTTAAAAGCATCTGGGAGTGTCATTTTCATGTCTCATTTCTTTTTTCTCACTAGTATATATTTCAGATCTGCACTAGAAAAATGTTAGAAGGAAAAAAGGTGTATTTCTTCTTCCTGGTCAGGAATCTGTGTTGTGGTTCCAGAACTCTTGGTCCTTGAGCTATCTTGCACCAGCTCTTGCTAGAGAAGCTGAGAAGCACCCTGAACTCCCCAAAATTTGAAGGTACCAACCTTCTGGCCTACTGAATAGTAATTTCTCATGGCTTCTTCCAGTCTAGCCCCGAGCACAGAGCAGGATTCTGTTGCCATGAAGAGAAGACTCCTGATCAGTCAGGCAAAAGCTCCGCCAGATGCATGTGATTTCTCAATATATCCAACTCTTCCTCCTGGCAGCTCACCTGCCTTCCCCCAGTTCTGGCTGCTCAGGGCTGTGCTCCCAGGAGCCAAGGCTGAACAAGAATCTGCGTTCTCACCAGACCTCTCGTTGTGCTGCTCTATTGCTAAGAAATAGGATTGTATAACTACTCAAAGAAAACAATGTAAATGATAATGGGATCTGGCGGCCTTTGGAAACTGCTTTCCTGAGCAATGATCCTGCCCCCCACTGCACCTAAGGATGAAACACACAGAGTACTCTTTGGGGAAGGAAACTTAAATATTACCACAACTCAAGTGACGACCCTAAGACTCATATCTGAGTGGGCAGCTTTTCCTCCTCCAAACCACACTTCCCACACTAATTCCAGCAGCTGCTTCAACCAGCCTCTTCTGCTCACACTGGCCTAGGGACAGAAACATTAAGGTAGGGCTGCCCTGAGACCTTGAACACACTCCCAAGAACACACTACCCAGCTCAGAAGATCCCCGCTCTTTTAAGTCCTGTATCAAGAATCACAACATAAAGATTTGTTTTCAAATATTAAAAAAAAAAAGATTCTTTTTATGTTTTAGCTAGGGTAGTGAAAAGGCACAGCCTCTCACTTGCATCCTCTGGGGGCAGGGGGAGGGGGTATCTCAGTTATGTCAGAGCCCATGGCCAGCCAGCCCAGTCAGTCAGTCCTTTACTTGACCATTGCTCCAGCCTCCTTTTCCTGGCAAGTCCAGATGAAATTCTTCCCAGCTGGAAAGTAGGGCTGTTTTCACAAGTGTCTCCACCGGGGTCGTAGCTGGGAGCCAGCTCGAGTAGCAAAGTCTCTTGAATGTAAAAAGCCGGAAGTCTGTAACTCTATTCAGGAGGCTGAGAGCTGAGGATGGAGGTTCTAAGCCAGCCTGGGTAGGAAAGTCCCTGAGACTCTTTTCTCCAGTTAACCACCAAAAACGCTGGAAATGGAACTGTGGCTCAAGTGACAGAGCCCTAGCTTTGAGCAAAAAATGCTCTGGGACAGCACTCCGGGTTGTGGCCCACCCCTTCCCCCCAAAAGGCTGTCCCATGCATCATATGTGGTGCCGCCAGCTCCCCACATCTATCCTCTCCAGGTGCTTCAGCTTCTTGGCTCCTGCGGTCAGTTCATCCAGGGTAACGATGGCAGCGTCCCATAGCTCAGGCTTCTGATTCACGAAGGGGCGGCGGCGCCCCTCCGACGGGCAGCCCGCACCGGACACTGCTGCAGCACCTGGTAGAGACGTTGGCAGCCCTCGAGGCCCAGGCGTACGGCCTCGGCCCAGCTCTCAGTCTGGCCGCCCTCCCCGCTGCCTAGCACCCCGGCCACCTGGTTGAGCACCGGCATGAGCGCCACGGTGAGGCCAGCGGCGGCGTGCTCCTCCTCGAGCCGCGTGGGGTCCAGCAGCCAGGTGGGCGCGGGTCCCGGAGCGAGGCTCAGGCCGCAGCCCACGACCAGGTCGTACATCTCCACTCCCGCGTCGGCCAGGGCGAGCGCGGCGGCCGTGAGCGCGAGCAGCAGCGCGGACACCTCGAGCTGCGCACGCGGGTATCGGCCCAGGCGCACCATGGGCTCCAGCGCCTGCAGCAGCGCCAGCGCCAGCTCGAGCTCCTCGCCGCCGCCCGGGGGCGCGCGGCGCCGGCGGCCCGAGAAGGGCGCGCGCCGGAAGTCGCAGATCAGGGGGCCGCGCAGCGCGGCCGGGGCTTCGCCTCCAGTCCCGGCCGGACCGCCGCTGCGCTGGCCGCCCTCGGCCTGGCGCGGGCCCGACACGGCGCATAGCACCTTGGTGCCGCCGCCTCCAGGCAGGCCGAGCCTTTGGCCTGGCTCAGCAGCCCGGCGCGCGCGTACACCGGCCGCAGCCGCGTCGGGTCGCGGGCGGCGGGCGCCTCGTCCTCGTCGGCCGCGTACAGTTGCGGAGGCTGGGACTCCTCCGGCCCGCGGATGCGGCGGTGGTCCCCCGGCATGGCGGCGCACGGCGTGGGAGCCGCTTCCGCCGGCCGCGCCTCGCCCAGGGCTCTTCCGCCGGCTTGAAGCCGCGCGCCCGCGCGGGGGCTGTCGGGAGAGTGGCGCGCGGCTGCACTGCCCCCTGGCGGCCTGGAGGGAGAACGCCACAACACTGGGATCCTGGGTGCTTCCCCCCCCCCCCCCCCCCCCGGGCCCGCGCGCCCTAGCTAGGGGTTGACTTGATCTGGACTCAGGCCCAGGCCAGGGTCCCTACTCTCACTATTTTTAGGTCATACAAGTGGGGATGGTGGAAGAGTAGAGAGGGTGGGGACAATAGCTGCCTCTCTGCCCCTTCCCCCCATACCTGCAATACACCTGACAATACCAGCATCTTCAAGAGGGACAGGGACTTAAGACAGGGCATTCCTCCTGAGAGGCCAGGAGAAAGGCACATCTCTGCTGAACTTATTGATGCCTCTCCGTTTCACCCCACCTCCAATAAACATCCTGAAGTAATCAAAGGGTCATTCCCAAAGTTCAGGGGGTTGGAGCCAGTGAGGACTGTAAACAGAAATCAGCTAGGGCCTCGGCCTATATTCTAGACACCCAGGGAGCCAGAGGTTATGTGACAGGGGCCCCTTACAGGAAGGATAGAAACGGCAAGGCATCATCAAGGTATTGCACATGGTCCTTTTATTCTCTGCAATTAAAAAGGTTTCCTATTGCAGACCCAGAATCCTGAAGGTGAGGAGAAAACTTGCTGCAGGAGAGCATGAGGATAATTAAATAGCGATTCTCGGGTAGTGGTTGTAGACTGATGGTGCTGATGTGAAAAGCTCAGAGCAGTAAATACAAAGGGACAATGAGTCATAGAGTGGATCCAGGTGTGTTCCAGTTACTTCTAGGTTAGGACGGACGGGGCTACTTAGAGGTCCCAAAAGTCAACTGTCCTTGTGGCAGATGGAAAGCTTCTGGCTAGACTGATGCATCTGGCTGACAGACACTTCCAGTGAGGGCTGTCCCTCTGGCTCAGTTCTTGACATCTCCTAGGCGGAGCTGAGCAAAGGAGGTGGCCAGCTGCAGGGCCTCCTGCAGGCAGCCCACATTTTTGCCCGTGGCCTGGGCAGACACATCCTTGCCACCACCTTTGCCATCCATCAGGCCTGACACTTGTTGCACCCACTCACTGGCTTTCAGGCCCCGGTTGGCTGCGTTCTGGAAGATAGGAAAGGGAAGTGGGAGTTAGAACTGAGGATGGGCTGGAGGGGGTGAATGAAGGGACAAAAAAGTTAAAGTAGCTATTGACATCTACCCGTGCCCAGGGTAATGCTACCAGAGGTCCAGATGGACTCTATCGAGTGTCATAGGGAAGCAGCCACTGGCTACTGTCAGAACAAAGGCAAGTGGCAACGCCAGGTATCAGCCAGCACAGTTAAACATTCACCATCAAGAAGGCCTGAGATGAGCCGGGCACCGGTAACATGTCTGTAATCCTAGCTACTTAGGAGGCTGAGATTTGAGGATCATGGTTCAAAGCCAGCCCGGGCAAGGAAAGTCTGTGAGACTCTTATCTCCAATAAACCACTAGAAAACCAGAAGTGGCCCTGTGGCTCAAGAGGTAGGGCACTCGCCTTGAGCTAAAGAGCTGAGTATATAGCACCCAAGCCCAGAGTTCAAGCCCCACGACTGGGGGAAAAAAAAAAAAAAGCCTGAGATGAAGGGCACTGGAGGTGACAAACAGTTGGGCAGGAGATCATGTTTCCTACTGGGGCTCCACGAACACAAACACCAAGAACCAAGCTTAGAAGCAACATGGCACTTCCGCTAGCACAACGGATTCAGGGTTTGGTGCCAAACCGCAGGCAGTTCTGACCTGGGGAACTTGACACAGGCATGTTATCTTGCCAGCCTCATTGTCCACGGTGAAGAGCATGGCCGATGTCTGAGGGGAGTGTGTCTTGAACAGCTTCAAGGCTTCATTCAGAGCCTGTGGATAGAACCTGGTTTCAGGACACAGCTCTGGGCAGGGGACCCTGCTCTCCACAAGGGAATTTGCAGAGTTCAACCCTTAGAGCAGGACCCTAGCCCCTTCCAAGAGCTCAGATGGCCAAGAATCAAGCACCGGGCCCTGCCCACACTCTAGCTCTGAGTTCTGCCTTCTACCTCCGGGGAGCTTGTCCCCCTTCTGGTCACCAGATCTCCCTTAGGGTTCAGTCTGACTTCAATCCTAGAGTAACCCAGACCTACAAAGCCCACCCATTAGCCACCAAGGGCTGATGAGGCAGGAGGGAAGGGGACATGAGGCAGACAGACAGGGCAGGCCTGGACCCCAACCCCTGGTTGCCTTGGCTGAGGCGCCGCTCTCCATCTCCAGAATGACCAGGGGCTGGTTGGGGTTACTGTCAATGAGCTGCTTTGTCTTCTCCAACACCTGTAACCAAATCCAGGAGAGAAGTTCAGGCCATAGGCCTAGACCCCCCAAACCCAGGCAGCAGTCTTTCCAGTTTCTCGGAGGAAATCTTCTTGACTCCCAGCCACCCACGCCGCTAGGACTCACTCGCTTCTGGACATCAGCTTTGCTGGCCCGGTCAAGGTCATCCATGACCTTCTTCAGAGATTTCAGAGTCTCCCTCAGTTCGTCCTTCTGCCACTGGGGGATGACAGCGGTGGCCAGGGCCTGAAAGCAGGTCAAAAAACCATCAGAGTCTGGGCTACAAGAAGCTAGGATGAGGCTCCAGCCCCATCCCACTCTTCTCAGTCTATGAACCAAAACATCAAGGTGTTTGCTGGCTTTGAGCAATTGCAGCAACTGTCATTAGCAAGGGCTGGATGAGAAAGAAGAGGCTTAATGAGGATTCAGCGCACGGACTAGGTCTTGAACACAGCCTGACAGGGTTTACTAGGAGCCATAAATACTTAGAAACACCAGGTGGGCTTGGAAACAGTGGGGTCCCACCATACTGCCCCAAGTCCCTCTCAGTGCCATTCAGGTGGCACAGAACTGGGAGCAGCAAGCAAGGCCCAGAGGTTTCTGGGAAGATCCATGGGGCCCCCTTTGCAAAACAGCAGAACAAGAGAAGTCCATGAACCCAGAGAAGCAGGACCTTAGTGGCTCCTCTCGGGGTTCTTTAAGAACAGGACAGGTCTTACTCTGTAGGCTTAAGAAACAGGTACTAAGGCAAAAGGGCGGCCACCCCTACCTCACCAAGATCAGCGATCTCCCTCTGAACATCCTTATTTGGGGCGGTCTGGGCCTTCACTTTGGCCTCCATGACACACAGAGATTTCTTCAAGCTGTCCGCCTTCCTGAGGGCCTGAGAGGAGGAGAATCAGAACTGTAACTAGGCAGGTTAGTTGTGTGACAAGGGTTTGTGCACAGCCGTGGAAATACTAACAGCAGGTTGTAGAGCATACACCCAAGACGCACGCTTCTTTCTTTCAGGGAGCAAATGCTGGTAGCCTTCTGGCCCAGAAAAGAGCACTGCCTCACACAGCCATCAGCAAGGACTGGACGCTCACTCGGGGTCAGCAGGGGACTGTGAACTTAGCTATCAGGAGCCCTTTTTACTCTTTGACATGATCAACCCTCAGGATTCAGAACAAGCATTCCCAACACTAGAGCAACTGACCCTTTATGCTGGCACTATGCACTCAGTATACTCAAATATTTCAGAGATTAAGCACGATAGCGGTGGTCACTGTTTCTGCCAGGCAAGGTAAGCGGAGGACACGTGGAGATGGCAGTCTACCTTCCTTCTCACTGCAGCAGACACAGAATATTGTTCGCCTAAGCCCCATGCTAGCCTGATCTGCTTACCTTCTGGGCTTCAGCACCTGTAACAGCAACAATCCTCCGAATACCCTTGGCAATAGCTTCTTCAGTCACAATCACAAAGGCTCCTGCATGACTTGAGTTCTGCAGATGCCTGAGAGGTAGAACAGAAAGGCCATGGTGAAGAGGAAGCCCAGGAGCCACTGGCAGGGAACAGTGCTTGAAGTCAAAAAATAGGAGCAAGGGAAGAGAGCAGACAAAGCTTAGGTTTGAGGATATCCTGGTTCTGAGCAAGACACCATCTCTCTTCTCTCTGTTTTCTCATGAGTAAATGACTTATATTTTTTCTCACTGGGTGAGAAAACTGGATGATTACTTTTAAAATCTTACCATAAGCCAGGCACTGGTGGCTCAGGCCTGTAATTCTAGTTACTCAGGAGATCTGAGGATTATGATTCAAAGGCAGCATGGGCAGGAAAGTCTTAGAGATTCTATCTCCAAGTAGCCATCAGAAAACCGCAAGTCACACAACTCAGTACTAGCCTTGAATAAAAGAGCTCAGGGACAACATTCAGGCCCTGAGTTCAAGGACCCCCTACCCCCCACCAAAAAAAAATCTTACTACAATCCTTTAAGCAAATAGTTGTGTGTGTGTGTGTGTGTGTGTGTGCGCGCGCACGTGCGTGTGCATGCGCTCGCACACGAGTACTTGCACATGCTAGTCCTAGGACTTGAACTCAGGGCCTGGGTACTGTCCCAAGCTTTTGTTCTCAAGGCTAGTGCTCTATCACTCTAGTTATACTTCCATTTCTGGATTTTGGGTGGTTAACTGGAGATAAGATTCTCCTGGACTTTCCTATCGGGGCTGGCTTTGAACTGGAATCCTTAAAACTCAGCCTTCTAAGTAGTTAGGATTATAGGCATTGAGTCACCAGCTCCTGGCCAAGCAAAGAGGCCTTATTCCCTAACTGCTCAGAGAACCCAAGCACTGAACTGATATAGTAATTCTACAGAGATGGTACATGGTATAAACCTATAGTTTCCAGCTACACAGGAAGTGGAGGCAAGAGAATCATGAGTTCAAAGCCAATTCAGGAAAAGTTATCAAAACCTATCTCAAACAAGAGCTAGAGTGTGTCATTCAAATTCAGTGGGGCAGCGGCCTAGAACTTACTTCCTCAGAGTCCTTCCCCTGCTCCCCCCCAACATACATACATACCATCTGCTGTTTACCTGAGGACCACAGAAGGATCTAGATGGGGTTGTTCAGGGTCTTCCCTGACCTGAATAATTTTTTTTTTTTTTAATACTGGGCTTCTGTTGGAACAAAGAATTTTCTAGGCCACCATGATCTCCCCCAAAACACTCCATGAGTTACAAAGGAATCCAAGCTGGCAGAGTGGCTCTTTTAAGCCAGCTGAGCAGACCAACCACACGGTGCGAAACGGCTCTGAGACAATGGACTCAAAGGGAATCAGATGGTCGCCAGGAATCGGGGTGCGGGCTGGGAATAGAGCAGGAGATCCCTGAGCACTCTACACTATTAGGACTGACTCAATCCTAACAAGCAATCATGCTTTTCTTCCTAAGAAAAACATTTCATCACAAACTCAAGAATATTAACCAGACACTAAGGGACCTGAGGGAAGCACTAGGATGGTAAGATTCTTGACAGTGTTACTTGACAAGTACATTGCTGAGGATTTCATTCCAACTACAGAAATGGGGATGTAGCTTAGTGGTAGAGTGCTTTCCTGGGGTAGGTAAAACCCTGGATTCTATCCTTGCATGACCAGAGAAGAAAATGACTGGTCCTCAAAGGTGATGCCAAGATGATTCCCTTATTGCTGCTCCTCCCGTGGTACTCACGTTCCCCCACAGAATTCAACTGAAGTGAGAGAGCCAGCAGGCCCAGAGGGGTCATCCAACAGGTCGGACACCGGGACCCCAATGGAGACGACTCGCACAGGGTCAGGATAAGTCTCATCAAACACCGCCCGCAGGCCCTGGATGGCTTTTGCTGCTGCCAGGGGACAATCCTGGGTATAGACGGGCTGCCATAGGAAGAAAATAGGAAAAGATGCTGGGGAAAAGTCTCAAAAGCTGCAGTAAGAGGCAGCAGAGAGAGCACAATGCTAAGGATCTAACCCTGGCTCTATCTGGCACATGCCCTGAGCCTTCTGAAATAGTGTGCCACATGCAAGGCAAGGGAGGCCAGAGGTGGACCTTGCCATCTTTGTTGTTAAATTGTGAATGCACTGCACACAACTTGAAGTGTCTACGGAGGGAACAGATCACAGACTTCCTTTCCCTCTGTACCAACCACTACCAATATCAAAGTGTCTGGCAAGCATTGCTTTAACAAATCTACATGCAAGAGAGGTCGTGGTACAGCAGAGTGTGAGCATGGGGAGGCTGGGCCTCTGTGATGCTGTAGCAAAGGGTGAGGTTTATGACCGAAAAATTTAGATCTAGGCCCCGCTACCTTGGCTGCCTCAATCATCTCGTTAGCAATCTCTTCGGCCTTCTTGATCTGTTGAGTAGACATAGCTCCCTTGGCAGTGAAGTCAAAGCGGAGGCGGTCAGGAGCAACCAGTGAGCCTTTCTGATCAGCCTCACCAAGCACCGAGCGCAGGGCGAAGTTCAGAATGTGGGTAGCTGTGTGGTTGCTCATCACAGGTCTCCGCCGGGGCTAGAACAGGGAGATACGAGAAGTCAGATTGCCAATAGTCCCCACATACTAGAATTCTTAGCTTGACACATGGATGGTCAGAGTGAAAACCTCATTTCTTAGCAGTGTAGTCATGTGACAACATTCTGGCCAAGAGGACATGAGAAGTGATGTATACCATGAACAGAAGAGTCACGTCCTCCTCCTCCTCCTCCTGCTAGAGACAACAATTAACTATGGCCAAATGTCTGTCCCTCCTCGCACTCCCCCCCCACTTCATTGAGGCAGGGTATCACTATGTATCCCTAGCTGGCCTTGAATATCTCTTCCTGCAGTCCTTTTGCCTTAGCATCCCAAAAGCTGTGATTACAGGCATGTGCCACTACATCTGGCTCCTTAAGAAGAAACTGAGGCTAGGAATGCTATCTGTGAAAGCAGTCTACAGGATGTGAGTAGAAGACCCTGGTAACATGATGGTAATAGGAACACTCAGGGTTACTGGTAGTCACACCCACACAATCCACCAAGTGCAAAATGCGCTACAATTTACTCCTGCACGATGCTTACAATTTCTCATAGGAAGGACAAAAATGATGGCTAATCTAAAGCCAAAGGAGGTGATTACTAACTAGATCAAATGGGGGACAGCACAATGCAACTTACCTCATCAAGGAACAGCCGGACTTGATCCCCCACCTTCAGGCTGCCATAGATTGTTCCTATGTGCAGCACATACCCTCCTCGCACCTGCGCATTCTTCACTGTAAATTCAGTTTTCTAGAAGTCAAGCAGGAGACCAGTAATAGTCAAAAAGAATCAGTCCTCTATGTACTCATGTGCACAAGTTCAAATATATACACAATGTGTATAAATATATAAACTGCACATATATGTATACATATATACACAAATATATATATTATATATATATATGTACACACACATATATACATAAACAAAAAGTCTCTTCATACTGTTACAAGTGGTGCTGTGGCTTAAAGTGGTAGAGTCTAACTAACCTTGAACAAATGAGCTCAGGGACAGTGACCAGACCCTGAGCTCAAGCCCCAGGACCGACACAAAAAATTTACATATTCCCTAAGAAAAACTTTAATAGTAATCTATATGTATATACATATATGTGCTACCATTATTTATATTAAATATACAAATAAAAATAACAATGAGTATCTTAGAGAATTCAAAAGCTACTGTTAGAACTTTCTACAAGAATGTTTGCTAGCAGAGAGCTGCCTTTCCTTATTTATAAGGAACGTATATAAGAGCTGAGTGGTCAGCCTTTGTATCCTGGTGTCAAGAATTCTCTTACAAGGGTCCCCAAGGGCTGAGATACAACTTCCTCAGCTGTAGAAACATTAACAACAGAGCCCAACCTGGACCTGTGATGTGTCTGTGCTCCCTTAGGGGCAGAGTGCTAGGGAGCCAAACAAGTCCAAGGCTCCACCCAGCCCTCCCTGGCTAACAAGGAGGGAAGGGATGGCTCACATCGTCACTGCTGTCATCGACCTTCACGAGGTAGCCTTCGTCGTAGATCTGCCCTCCCTGCTCAGCATAGAAACAAGTCTTGTCCAGTACCACTCCACACTCCTGGCCGGTGGACACCTCTTCCACAAACATCTTCTCCCTGCACAGAGCCAGCACTGTAGCCACTGTGCTCTCAAATGCTGCTCCATGGAAATGTAGACAGGGGAAGACAATCAATAACTTTGTTTTGGAAGCAAGCCCATTAGACTCCACAAAAAAAAAAAAAAAAAAAAACCAAAACCCTAGTCTGCTGGTTTCTCCCTAAGGAATTAACACCCAGGCTGGTGATTGTTTGTCCCAGAAAACTGGGACAGTCACTGACCAAGTTTCCTGGGTTGCAGGCTTCCAGTGTTTGCACTGAGATAGCTCTGAGAAAACTGGACAGTTGGTTACACTAGATCTCAGAAACTAGCCAGAAACTTGGTAAATCTGACTAGACATATAGGAGTAGTAATACATTTCCAAGTTCAAGATCACAAAGAATATATTCAAGCCAGGTGCCGAGTGCTCACACCTGCCATCCTAGGTACTCAGGTGGCTGAGATCTGAGGATCACAGTTCAAAAGTAGTTTGAGCAGATGATTCTAAGAGACTTGTCTCCAATTAACCAGCAGAAAGTTAGAAGTGGAGGCATGACTTTAGTGGTAGAGCACCAGCTTTGAATGTAAAAGTACAAGTCATGAGTTTAAGTTCCAGTATCAGCACCAAAAAACAAAATTTAAAAAAAAGAGTAAAATCAGTGTGTGGCTCACTTGTTTATATTTTGGTGTTAAGATAGTGTCACACAAAGCAAAAACATTTCTTGATTTTTGTTTTTTTGTCAGTAATGGGGCTTGAACTCAGAGCCTCAGTGATGAACCACAATCCTGTTTGCCTTCTGAGTAGCCAGGATTACAGGTGTGAGCCACTGACACCTGGCTGAATTTTTTTTTTTTTTTTTGGCGGTCGTGGGGCTTAAACTCTGGGCTTGGGTGCTGTCCCTGCGCTCTTCAGGCCAAGGTGAGTGCTTTACCGCTTGAGCCACAGCACTTCCAGTTTTCTATTGGTTTATTGGAGATAAGAGTCTCACAGACTTTCTTGCCCGGGCTGGCTTTGAACCGTGATTCTCAGATCTCAGCCTCCTGAGTAGCTAGGATTACAGGTGTGAGCCATTGGTGCCCGGAACTGTTTGTTTCTTTAGAATGCTATTATATGATGCAAAATTCTGTAGCCACTGTGGACTGCTTCAAGGTCTCTTGCCTTGTTTCCTCTAAGTTTTAAAATCAGGGGAAACTAATGAATGACGGGTTCATGGGCTCTCTACAGGCTTTACATTTTTTTTTACAACTTCCTGTCACTATTATTGCAAAATAAAATTAGGAAAACCACTGGCCAAGGGTGTGTATGGAATGGAGGTGCACAGCATCACTGTAGCGCACAGGAGAGGATGCTGAAGAACTGCTGGTCACCTCAACTTGAGACTCATCTCTCAAAATCCCCTAGATAAGGACAGACAGCACAGCAGCAGAAAGACCCCAACAACGTACCATAGCTGCCACTGGAGTCTGAATGGTAATTATACTTCGGTGAATCATCTGTGGCTTCCAAACCCTTTGCCCGGAGCTCTTCAATAGCATAAATGTCCAGCATAATGAGGTCTTCCCCACCTGCTCCTTTGCCCTGGGACTTTAGCTGCCAGGAAGAGAAACAGGCACTAGTTACTTTAAAATAGGGAAAAAGAATTTTAAAGAATTCAAACTTGGGGGTTGGAGGCATGGCTCAGGTTGGTAGAATCCCAGCCAATGCGTGAAAGCATCGGATAAAGTTCAACTCCTAGCCTTGGACGGCCCCCCCCACCCAAAAAAAAAGTATTCAAATTTGGTAAACAATACAGGAGTTAAAAGTATATTCTTCATTGGAGGGGTGTCCTTACACTGCAGTGTGTTAAGCAGCAACCCTGGACTCTGCCAATTAGAGGAACACTTGCCTAGAAAACTAAAATGTCGCACACATCATTGCTAAATGGCCCCTGGGAGCAGAAGTGCCACCAGCTGGTCTAGGGAAAGGATTCTAAACATTTTAACAGAAGGAACGTCATAGTTGCAGTCTCACGCTCCCCATTTCTCTACCTGAGCCAGTTTCCTCTCCTCTTCAAAGCCATCCATGTCTACCACCAGGCCCTTCTCTTCAGCAATCAGTCCTGTGAGATCCACTGGGAACCCATAGGTGTCATACAGGAGCCAAGCAGTGTCTCCTATAGCATGAAAGAAATATGTCAGAATAGCTGGGCAGCCCCCTCCTTCCATGTCCAGCCCTCCACGGAAGATGACAGGATTACAGAAGGGATCTGAGGCAATGCAAATGGTCTCCCTGTGGGCCTGTCAGAATACCCATCATGCCCGGGAGCACTGATGTTAGAAAGCACTACCAAGTCTTCTGGCAAAGTTCTGATTCATCAGAACTTTTTCTTTCTGTATGTCAATAAAAAGGAAAAAAAAAAGTCTAAATAAAGTAAACTGTAAAATGGTACATCTATGCTTGAAAAAAAAAAGCAAATACAGGCCAGGCACCTGTAATCTAGCTACTCAGGAGGCTGAGATCTGAGGATTGGGGTTTGAAGCCAGCCCAGGGAGGAAAGCCTGTTAGACTCTTTATTTTCCAACAAACAAAAACAAAAACAAAAAAAGACAGAAACAAAGCTGTGGCTCAAGTAGTAGAGTGATAGCCTTGAGCAAAAAGAAGGTCAGGGTTAGCATCCAGGCCCTAAGTTCAAGCCCCAGGACTGGCACAAAAAAAAATAAAAATAAAATTAATATATATGTATATATACATATATAGACATATACAAACACCTATAAGAATTTACATGTTAATTGTAATAAACTATATAAAATCCTAATAGTTATACATCAGATTTCCTTTTAATTAGCATATATTAGCTATGCGGAGATTTCATTGACATTTTTCTTTTTCTTTTTTTTTTTGGTTGTGGACTTGAACTCTGAGCCTGGGTGCTGTCTCTGAGCAACTTCAGCTTGAGGAGAGCACTCTACCACTTGAACCACAGCACCACTTCTGGTTTTCTGGTGGTTAATTGGAGATAAGAGTCTCATGGAGTTTCCTGCCTGAACTGGCTTTGAACCATGATCTTCAGATCTCAGCCTCCTGAGTAGGTAGGATTACAGGGGTGAGCCACAAATGCCCGGGCTCATTGACATTTCTTTTTTTTTTTTTGGGTCCAGTCATGGGGCCTGAACTCTGGGCCTGGGCGCTGTCCCTCACCTCTTCAGCTCAAGGCTAGCGCTCTACGACTTGCGCCACAGCGCCACTTCTGGCTTTTTTCTTTTTGCTTATGTGGTGCTGAGGAATCGAACTCAGGGCCTCTGGCATGCAAGGCATGCGCTCTACAACTGAGCCACCTTCCCAGCCCCTCATTGACATTTCTAAGCTCTCTTTTGTTGTTGCAGACATAGTGTGAGTAGGTAGCCAGGCTGGTGTGAATTTTTCTCCTCCCAAGTGTTGAGATTACAGGCCTATACCACCATGCTTGGGTTTATACTAGACTCCTAAAAGATGTTATCTGTGAGAAATGAACTTGGGAAAGGACTTTTACTTTTTCTTCTGTATAAATATCTCACCACAACAAATTACTACTACTTTTATTACTTTACTCTAAAAATCCTACTTTACTATAAAAGCAGTTTAACTCTTCGTTCAACTTCAATGGACATGAGAATCTAGTGTCTGTTTGTGAAAGAGGGATTGCCTTTCCCAGAAAGATGTCATAGGGCTGGGAAGGTGGCTCAGTGGTAGAGTGCTTGCCTTGCACACATAAGGCCTTGGGTTAAATTCCTCAGCACCACATAAACAGAAAAAGCCTGAAGTGATGCTGTGGCTCAAGTGGTAGAGCGCTTGAGCTGAAGAGCTGAGGGACAGTGCCCAGGCCCAGAGTTCAAGCCCCATGACTGACAAAAACAAAAACAAGAAAAAGATGTCACAGCGCAGACAGAGGAAGGCCAAAGCAGGCCTTACCTGGAATGGTCTTGCAATCTCCCAGGCTCTGGATTTTTCGGTCCAGGATGCGACGCCCCCTGCTTAGAGTCTTCAGAAACTGCACTTCTTCTTCATTAATGATGTCTTTCACCATATCTGGGTCCTTCTTTAGCTCAGGAAATGCATCTCCCTGACAAAGGAGTTCAATGAAGCCAGAGGCTCCCCCATTACCTCACCTTGCCCTTTTAGACTGTGGCTTCAGTATGTGAGAGGCAAGCAGGGAATTACACATACCAGGGATTGGACAACAACATCAACCAACGTAGCAAAGAAACCCCTGCTGGCATTGAGTTTCTCATGGGAGTAGCGCACAGCCCGGCGGAGAATCCGTCGTAACACGTACCTGTAAGGGGCAGACTCTAATGCCTTTCCATACAACATTCTCAGCTCAGGGCTCTGTCCTAGCTCCTTTGCAATTCTACCCAAAGTAATATGACCAACTTTCTGTCCTGCTCTTGAAGACATTTTCTTCTAGCTTAAGCCTGCATCCCTCTGTGTTCTCCAAGATCTCTGTGTTAATTCAAGCATGAACTCAGTATCATACAACTCCTCTACAACTTCATGTCAAGGATTACCTAGGAAAAATCCTAGTTTTGTTGTCCTTCAATGTTTGGTTATCATGAGAGGCAAAATGAGAACACACGCATGTGATGCTAGACCCTGTCTGCCAGTAATGGAGTTTCTTGGGGCTACCTCAACACTTACCCCTAAGTTGCCTCTACCAACATCCCATCCAACAACCTTAAATATGATCCCTAGCCTCTACATTTCTCCAAAGTTTAAAATGGTAGCATGTGTTAAACATAACCGAGACACCAAAAAGTAGGAATAGGAAAGTGGGGATCTTCTACTTCTACCCAAAGACAAAGAAAAGAATAAGTTTCATACAGTCCCCAAACTCACAGTTCAAAACCTGGCCCAGAGCATAACATTTACTCACCCCCGCCCTGTGTTGTCAGGCCGGCCACCATCAGCCAGTGCCACAGTGATGGTCCGAGCATGGTCAGCCAGCACCCTATAGGCCATGTCAATCCCATCAACGTCCTCAGCACCGACTTTCCCAGTGTATGGCCGGGCACCTGTGCCCTACAGGGAAACACAGAAGGTGGCCCATCACAAGACAGCCCTTATGCTGCTCTGCCCGAGGTGGTTTCTGGGGGATTGAGAAGCATCAGGAGAAACGATGACTGTATCACCAGATCTCATAACCCCAAGGAAGGTGACAGCAAGGGAATAAGGGCTAGTCCTCTATGCTCTATGCTCACCAATACATCCTCATGCAATCTCATGCTATTAGCAACGAGATAGGCAACAGGTAGGTACCCTTGGCTGGCAAAGCGTCTGGTCACTTATCTTTGGCAATACCAAAAGTCCAGCCTGCAAGCCTCTACCTTCTGAATCGCTTCGAAGTAAGGAACAAAAAGGTCAGTGTCATAGTTGGACATCTTGTTCTGTAACACAGACACTAGTCGCTCCAGGCCCATCCCTGTGTCGATACTTTTCTTGGGAAGAGGTTTTAGAACACCATCCATTTCCCTGTGCAAACCAGAGGAAGAGGAAGTTGAAGCAGGGACTCTCCAGGAAAGGGACTGCTCTTAGCAGGAGTGGACCAGAACACAGTAGCTACCTGTTATACTGGATAAACACAAGATTCCAGATCTCTAGTACGTTTGGGTCATCCTGGTTGACAAGGTGCGCGGCGTCCCGACCGCCAATGCGGTCATAGTGGATCTCGCTGCAGGGGCCACACGGGCCCGTGTCCCCCATCTCCCAGAAGTTATCCTTCATGTTGCCAGGTAGGATTTTCGTGTCATCCAACCTTCATGGAGCAGGGAAGATTAAGCCCAGTTATAACCAATGAAAAGAATTCTGCTTGGACTTCCTTTTACCACAAAAGGAAATCTTTTATGATTTCCATACAGAAGTCCCCATTCTTGGCCTACATACAAATTCATCTAAAGGAACCGCACATGATCTTCTCAAGTATGACTATAATAGAATACAAACATATGTGTTCTCCCCCACAGTATAACCCCTGCTTTCACTGTATATAATGTTGGTATAATTTGTGGAGGGGAAGGGAAAAAACAAATAATTAAAACAGGGATACAGGTGGACCCATTGCAACAATGAGATGTACAAGTTGTTAAGTCAAAAAACAAACTTTACAACTTTGGTGAGAAGGGGGAGAGGAGGATCCAGTGGGCGGGGGGTAGGAGGGAGGATGGGAAGGAATGGGAAGGGGAAACAAAGGAGGAGGATACAATGCTTGATAAGAAATGTACTCATTATTTTGCCCAAGTAATTGTAACCCCTCTGTACAGTATTTTCACAATTAAAAATAAATAAATAAAAAGTATGTGTTATGATCTCAACTCAATAAAATATACAATGATATGTATTTAGCCTAGAGCTATTCTAGAAAGGAACACAGAAAGAAAAAAAAAAGAAAAAGTTTATGCTGAATAGGATAAATAGATGTTTTGCGGGGGGAGGGTGGGTGGTGGTAAATTCAGGTCCTGGGTGCTGTCTTTTTTTTTTTTTTCCCCTGTCGTGGGCTTGAACTCTGGGCCTGGGCACAGTCCCTGAGCTTTTCAGCTCAAGGCTAGCGCTCTACCACTTTAGCCACAGTATGACTTCCAGTTTTCTTATGGTTTATTGGAGATAAGAGTATCAAGGACTTTCCTGCCTGGGCTGGCTTTGTACCATGATCTTCAGATCTCAGCCTCCTGAGTAGCTAGGATGACAGGTGTGAGCCACATGCGCCCAGCTCCTGAGTTTCTTTTGCTCAAGGCTAGTGCTCTACCACTTAAGCCACAGCTCCACTTCTGGCCTTTTTGATAGTTTACTGGAGATAAAGAGTCTCACAGACTTTCCTGCCAAGGCTGGCTTCAAACTGTGATTCTCAGATCTCATCCTCCTGAGTAGCTAGGATTACAGGAATAAATCATTAGCAACTTTTTGTTTTAGTGCTATTTGATACCATTACCTTTACAAAAGAAATAACAATGCCTCATATATAGAATACCACTCTGTAGAATAAGACAAACACACAAAAACAAAGAGAACTATAAAAATACAAAAAAGACCTAGAAGATTAAATATGAAATATCAGTCTATTAACAATGACTTTAGGGACCTTTGTTTCTATTTTTTATTCTTCTATATGATTTGAATTTTTTTTTTTTTGTTTTGCCTGAGCTTCACTTGCTCAAGACTAGTACTCTACCACTTGAACCACAGCACCACTTCTGGCTTTTTCTGTGTATGTGGTACTGAGGAACTGAACCCAGGGCTTCATGCATGCTAGGTAAGCACTCTATCACTGAGCCACCTTCCCAGCCCCTGATTTGTTTGATCATGGAGTAATGTAATCTAAGTCCCATGACTCCACTCTGGCACTGTTTAATCACTCCTAGCAAGTGGGTTGCACACTTACCCCAAATTTTGCCAGATCTGTTTACATTCCAAATCTGGTTCTAAGCCAGCTGCTTCATCCCCACCAAAGTAAGTAACATAGAGTCTTTCAACTGGAATGCCAAACTCCTGGGTGAGAAGTTCCAGGGCCATCTTACATGCCAGTTCCTGCCAAGAGAACAAAAAGATAGATACAGAGCATGGCCAAACTAAACATGTCGTAAGAGCAGAAAGAAACTAAATCCTGAGAACATGAAATGAAACGACAATATTTTCACCATAAATTCAAACACATTGAAGGTCAACTTTGATAAGAAATCTAAATAGAGCCGGGCGCTGGTGGCTCACGCCTGTAATCCTAGCTACGCAGGAGGCTGAGATCTGAGGATCGCGGTTCAAAGCCAGCCTGGGCAGGAAAGACTCTGAGACTCCTATCTCCAATAAACCACCAGAAAACCGGAAGTGGCGCTGTAGCTCAAGTGGTAGAGCCCTTGCCTTGAGCTGAAGAGCTGAGGGACAGTGCCCAGGCCCAGAGTTCAAGCCCCACGACCGACAAAAAAAAAAAAAAAGAAAACTAAATAGAGACAGGTACTTCTCCTAAGAAGTCTTAGAAATACTGAATGCCTCTCCCATCTGCAGCCCCTAGAGGATAATGTTCCATGTTTTAAAACAAGTAAAAGTAGAATCTAGTTCCCTAAGAGGAAATGACCTACTTGTTCAAAACTCTTAAGAGTTCTCCTGTGCTGGGCTTACCTTGAAGTAATCTCCAAAAGACCAGGAGCCCAACATCTCGAAGAAGGTGTGATGGTAGACATCCTTGCCCACATCATCTAGATCATTGTGTTTGCCTCCAGCCCGGATGCATTTCTGGGTATTAGCAGCTCTGCTCAGCTTTGCCATAGGGTGAGTTGGATCAATTGTGTTCAGAAAGATGGGTTTGAACTATGAAAAGAAAAACGAGAAGAAATGGTACTGTGGCTCAAGTGGTAGAGTGCTAGCGTTGAGCTAAAGAACTAAGGGACAGCGCCTAGGCCCAGTGAACCTGGAATACAGATTCTTAGACCCAGTAGTAAAGCCGGAGCAAAAGCAGCTGATCTTGGAACAACTTCCTCTTGAATCTAATTCCCTAAAGGTCCCTACCACTGCCAATGCCACCATGGCTCAGAGAGAAAGGTTTGTCAGACCCGAGTAGCCAAAGGTTGACTTGTGAAATGTGGGCTTCTTTACAAGACTCTGATGTTCAGGGCTTGTATCATCTTTCTGTGTTTGTTTTCACTGATGTATTTTTTTGGCCGTCCTGGGGTTTGAATGTAGGCCCTTGTATTTGCTAGGCTAGCCACTCTACTATATCATCCTTCTGGAAGAACTTATTCTAAAACTGATATGCTCTCTTAGGAATAAAGATGATGGGAGAAAAAAAAAAGAGTAAAACTAGTACAAGTTGATGAAGGACTAGATGTAGAGGGCTGGTATTTCCTTCTATCTACCTAGCAAGGACAAGGCCTCAGTAATGCCAAAATCAACACATGCTAATAACAGCTGAAGTGTGAAAGTCTATGTGGCCATATTGCTATACATTTTAATTGTATGATGGGTCATCTATTCACTTCTCACTGTAACCTTTAGGTAATCACCATTATTATTTTCATTTCACAGTCAAGTTCATGACATCAAGTCCCATAAGCTCACAAAATAAGTGACAGAATTGGGATTCTGTCTGAGTCCAGGAGCTGTGTCTTCAACCTGTCAGTGCTCTGCTGCCTCCTATGTGTACAGACAGCCAAGAAAAAAGGGAAAAATCTTTACCTGGTTCATGCCTGCATTGGCAAAGAGCAGAGTGGGATCATCCAATGGGATGGTTGCAGATGAATGAACATAAGTGTGTTCATTTCTCTGGAAGAAATCTATAAACCGCTTCCGGATTTCCCTCGCTGTTAGGGGCAAGTCCATCTTGCAAGTCACTGCAAAGAACTAACCAAAGGGGGGAAAATGAAGAACAATTGGAGAATTAAAATTAAAAGGAGGAATTACACAAGACTCCTGCTTTTTCAAGCCAAGTCAAAACAGGACACAGGTTATCTGTTTGATCCTAAAACCTGACTGTTATAAGGTCCAAGGCTAAAGTCTTATCAAAGCAAAAACAGCTGCACCAGCAGACAGTAGCCCCATCCATTCCTTCTTCCTATGTAAACGTCAACAGGCTCAATACACCAATACACCAAGTAAAGCAGGAGGTGGACTGCCATGCCTTTGTTCATTCAACAAATAGTGAGTGTCCACAGCCAGAAATTCAAAAAGAGGGATTAAGGCCCTCATAGTCTTACAGTCACAGAGGCTCAAGAGAACTGAGTTCTAACTTAAGCTTAAGTAACTTAAGCTAACTAGAACCCCAAATGTTAGCTATTTATTAGGTTGACTAAGGAGAGGAACTAAGGGTGTGGCTCAGTGATACAGGGTGTGCAAGGCCTTGGCTTCAATCCTCAGCACCTCTCATCTCCAAATAAAATTACTGAGGAGGATGGTGTAGGCCTTCCCAGGGAGGAGAGAAAGGTAATAAGGAGAGAGAAATAAGATGATTTTACAACTTCAAATTTCTCTCACATACATTATACTTTCCCTGGAAGGGAGGCTGGGGAGAAGTGACAGGTTTGTTTGTTTGTTTTTTTGAGGGTACCTATCACTGCTTGGAGTTGTAGTAGATGAGAATCATTTCATTCATGACATTATTTAAAAGGTTTCTAGAGTACAAAACCGGCCTAGGCAGTAAAGGCCATGAGATTCTTTTTTTTTATTTTTGGGTCCGGTCGTGGGGCCTGAACTCTGGGCCTGGGCGCTGTCCCTCAGCTCTTCAGCTCAAGGCTAGCGCTCTACCACTTGAGCCACA